ACTTAACATTAGGCAAACGACTTGCCCGTCCCGTTACTTGGTATGATAAAAAAATATTTTCCTCAGTAACTTGCAAGGTCTCACAAATGCAGAAAAACAGGCATTAATATTATATTACAAGATGTAGTGTATTTAAATGCTAAGAAAGTTCTTCAATTAAATTAGCCACTTCATGGAATGAACCAAAGACCTATACCATTGAGAGACTCTTGCCACACAATGGAACATGCAGCTCTATACTCTCCTAAGGCCCCATGTACATCAGCATGTACATATTATGTGAAATGATTCAGACCTAAACAATATTATTTATATGATCATGTCAACGCCCAGTGTACATTATAATGAAAATATCCTATTCAAATTTGGTGCTATATATTCTATATACGGTATCTAGAAAAATACGTTTTTCATACGAAACTGAGGGCATACTACATGGTTTAAGCCTGAAGCATATAATCATATTTAGTACATTTTAATATACATTAGGTGTTTAGGGCTTTTTATTTTTGTTAGTTTTTCCCATTGTGTTATTTGCTGGATCTTAGGAAACTTAAAAAAAAATCCACTCACAGAGTACTTTAATTTCACTCTGTAATACACGGAAACTTTTTAATTTGTTTATAGATAATATAATAATTTCCACTTCTTATTTCACGTAATAAGAAACTTTTACTTCAATCCCGTACATTTACCAGTCATAAACCAACACGGTCGTAGTTAAAGAGCTGTGTCATAAAACAGCTGTAGGCTCAGTGCTACTATGTTATAATACGTCAGATGTAGAAGACCGGTAAAGTTACGTTTCCACCAGACACGATGCCTCTCATAATATTATTTGCGGCTGGTGTGTACGTGCTTCGAATTTCGCCATCCCAAGCTACTTGGTTATGACGATATGAAATTTGTTCGCAACAGGAAACTTGCTATTTACCTTCGGCGCAACGATGAGCTCATATTACGAGGAAGGCTGCATTTTGACGATACAAATGCTTGAATTCTAAATTATTTGAATGCGTATTTACAGCTGCTAGTGTACTGAGACTTGTGTTTCTGACATTTTAGCAACTTTGTAATAGTTGCTTTCGTGGATTTATTAGCAGTAGAGTCCTTGTGAAAGAGTTCGTTCAGGGAAGTACTGCCATCTTATCTATTTCTGCCGCCAAACAGTAATGTGAACATTAATGCATTCTGATTTTGAAGGGTAATGATGCTGGTGAAATTACAGGCACATGAGACTTATCAACTTAAGCCTCAGGGTGGTACTGCCATTGTTATAGATAGGCGTATCGTTTACCACCAAGGACATGAATTAATCGTCCCGTTACTTGATGTCACAAAATATTTATTAAAATATAAGGCAAGGCAGACTAGAAGGAGCTTGACTGTGTGAAAGGTCACCCATGTCAAGGACTGTGATGGACCGCTCAAATAAAATCTGCAAGGGGCGGTCCTTTGCATGAGTGCACCAGAGTGTTCACCAATAGTCTTTATGGCGAGATATATTATCGTGAGGTGAGCCACATCAGCCCCAGACTTCTTCTGACAGAACTTCGTGATGATCACGACCGCTCTGTCAGAAGTGCTACGAAAAAGAAGAAAAATTTATAATAGTAATTTGATTGAAGTTAGGTATTGATACCTTTCGATTTAAGCAATTATCTGACAATTTTCATTCTAGAAGCAATGACGCAGTTAAATGACGAAAATAAGTTCTAAGAAGCACTATGTAAGCCAAAGCCAATCTATCAACTTCTGATGTCTTTTCAATTCTCTTATTTGGGTTACGATCTACTTCTACAAGTAGCAGGTTACTTAATTCGACGTAGTGTAATAGCGGGTTAATCCTACTTTAGAAGATATAAGTCATTTGCCATGATATTCAAATAAAAATGTCGTGTCATTAAAGGTTATTTCTGCCACGATTTTCGGAGAGCACACCGTTTATCGGAGTGTTACCATTACCTACGCAAATACGACATTGTGATTTCGAACATGAAACTGGGTTGAATTCAAATATCGAATAATTCTTGTGTAAAAATATATTAAATACAATGCGTACTATCACTTAGTAATGCGTATCTACAATAAAATCTTTACAACATGCTTTTATTGGGCAAACATAAAATATTATTCCTTACGTCAGAGAAAGCCTGCGGTTGGAATTAAAAAGCTTTTTCCTGTTGTAGAGATTTCGTCATGTAGTTATGAGGACATTAAAGTTAATGGACCCCTCGGCACCGCCTACTTCGGCGACTTTATGAGTTTATAGGCCAGGTATCTCGCTGGCAACATTTTATTTGTAAGAAATTTTGTCTTCCCCCTTTTTTCCTGCTACAATTTGTGCAAAACTTCGTGTAATGCCGCAAAATTTATATTCACACGAATACCTGTGACATTGGTATTTAGGTAAATAAATTTGGAGCATTAAGAATGACTCGTTTCAATATTGTTCGAGTCACGTAGGTTTCGCATATTTATGCGTATACATCAGTAAGATATTTCATTCGGCAGGTTTTTTGTTGTTTGAAAAATATATATAGAAATTCGATTGAATTTAGTTTGCAAAACTTTATCTCATTTCATGAACTTTGCTAAACTTCCATCTTGTTACAGTTGAAGGAATTTAGATGTAATTCGGTGAGTAGAGAGTTTACGTCCTCGATTCACTCAAGGAAACAATTTTTCATCCCGAACGTGAATGAAGTCACGAAAGTCAGTGATTGTTTAAATATTCATCAGCGTCCAAACCCGAGTTTCAAATTTCCTGAGTTTGATAGCAGCTCAGACGCCTCGGCCTCGACCGGATTCGTTACTACTTAATGGTGTTGGTTTTTCAAACGGACTGGCAAATGAGCCGACATTTCCGAGCCGAGGACGGTAATGTCAGCAAGCCAGTAAATTTTCCAGATAAGCACCCCTCTGACGGTTAGGCCAAGTTCTCTCTTATTTCATTAAGTTATTTGCTTTGAGTTTAACTCGCGCTAACGAAATAGACAGACTGTTTGCTTGGAGCGTGTACTCTCAGCATGTACGCTATACTAGGTGCTTGAAAAATCGAATTGTGCTAATGAAAATTCTGTATGTTTTGCAAAATTGCGTATCTAATATTTTTTCTACTCTCGGTGCCAATACTGATTTTACCGCTTACGAAAGTATTTGTGTTAAAGATGAAAAAAATATGAGCTAATTTTAATTGTAAATGATATAAATTTGTACACGTAGCAGCAGCGGAAGTTGGACAATCTACACAAAAGCGCCGCTGTTGCAAACTGAAAATTTGAACGCAGTGCAAATGGCGTAGGGTACAATTTTCTACAAATATTTATGACTTTTTGTATACATATATATATCTCTATCTTGCGTGACTCGTCGTACATTTTAATGACTAGAATAAGGCTTTGCATTACACAAGTATTAAACACTCTGTACAAGCACATTGGAACACTATATTCCCTCTATCAAAAGCGCGCTTAATCAATTTAATGTTGACTTAGATACAGTGCGTTTCACCGAGCTCTATGTTGCTTTCAGTATATTATATGGAACTTAAAGATACATCTATACAACAGTTTAATGAACCATTATTACGTAAATTGATAAAGAACTTTCAAACAGTGTACATTAGCGAGATTATCACATAAACATTTTTTTCCTGCTAGGCTTTGAACAATTGAGACTTTCTTCGAGAAATACGTGAATAGTACGCATTCAAGAAGATGACAATACACGTTATCATTAGATATTAATAATAATAATAATGTGAAAAATATCACATTGAAGAATTCGGTTACCAAAACATGAAAAGAAAAAACGTTCAAAGCCGTAATTACAGCCAGACAGTTTTACGTGCTTGTGTAACGTATTGTGGTAAATATAGAGAATTTCATCAGAGGTCACGTGTGAACGTGTAATTATTGTACGGTTGGGAAAAGGCTCGTGTATAATTCAGGCTTGCCGCCCTTATTCCGATTGATTAATGCCGTGCTCATCTAAGTTTCTCCGAGATTTCCGTTTCACTCCTGCGCTCTCCCTTGGCAGTGTAAATTGTGCTGGAAATCCGAAACGGCGTCGTTAGTTCTGCGCAGGGGTTTCCCCTGGGCCAGGTCAGGCAGGGGACGCGGCAACCTCTATAAATCTTATCCTCGAGCTTCCCGCAACTAACAAGCCGGCGCGCCTTCACCAGCTTAGTCTCACCTCGCCCAACCCCCAGTAAATATATAACCCGCAAACTTTTCATAATACCCCTTTAAAGAGATTAGACTATTTTCATATTAATCATACAGTGTCTGAAGGGTTGCCGCGATAGGTGCTATAGTAATTTAATAATCCAAAGGACCGTCTCTCCGCGATTCTATCCCGTATAAATCAATTTTATCGAGCTGCCTTCGCTGTGGATTAAAATTATTACCACTGGGGAGATGTGGCACATATAACTATTGCACGGATACACTTAGCTTAAGCGACTTTGTGACTTGAGTTAGGTAAATTAATTACATTTTACGCTCATAAAGGTACACTCGTATTATAAATTATTTACACATGGCACAGTGGCAAAGATATGTAGGTACTTCTATTTCCCAATAGGGTTTTTGACAAAGTTCACAAAGATTTTGCAAAATAAAAAATAAAATACGGACACATAGTACATTGAAAAACATAGTATTATTCTTGAGTATAGCGGCAAATGCTACGACAAATATTAATGTAATATCGTTCAGTGGTGATCAATCAAATTTGGTTTAAGAAAGTTTTCGAGAATGCGATAATATCTATGACACTGCGAGGAATACGTAAAATATATAATGTATGTATAAGTCAGTAAATACATATAATAGCATCTGTACACCTGATCACCGCCGCGCCTAAAAAGGTGCATTTAGTGTGTTTACAAGTAGGGTTACTGTTGTTGATTTGTATGCATACTTTAAAATAGAGAAATGCAACAAAAGGTGCATGTAAGGTTCCACACGGGTAACAATGTTGTTTTTTTGTTTCAGCGTCGCTGGCGCAGCGTATCTGCGCTGAGTATGGGAGGCTTTGCCCTGCTATACTGGAGGCTGCGAATCGCTGGCTCGCCCTCGGTATTCGCTGCAGCGGATAACCCCGCCTCTCGCGATCCTTCCTTCCTCACTAGATTTTACACCTTTACCTACCTCCCCGTTTTCAATTTCTTTCTCCTTTTATACCCTTTTCATCTTAGTTTCGACTGGTCCATGGACTCAATACCTCGCATAACAACTCTCTTAGATCCACGAAATATACTAACAATAATATTTTATGCAATACTTTCAAAAGTAACATGGAGAGCAATTGTAAAAGAGTTCAAAAAACATCAAGAAAATTCAAGTAAAGAAAACAAGTACTATAAAAAACAGAACTGTAAAGCTAAACAAAAGTGGAATTACAACAACAAACAGTACTATCGTGGACCTGACTGCGTTGAGAGAAAAAGCTATCATGCACCGTACAAAGAGAATACATCATCTAAAAAGCTAATGTGCCCCTGCAACGGTTGCAAACATTCACTTACAGAGGAGCACACGAGCGCCTGCAGAGCCATTAACAACAACAACACAATGATGCATCATTCCACTTGTGTGTGCCCAAAACTGAAAGCTCACACTCCTCATAGATATTACGTTTACTGCAATTCGCAAATCGCGATGCTGATATCAGTGGCATTCATGGTTCTCCCGTTCGTACCCGCAAGTAATCTGCTGTTCTACGTTGGTTTCGTTGTGGCGGAGCGTGTGTTGTACATACCCAGTGTTGGACTATGTTTGCTTCTTGGTCTGGGAGCGGGGACTCTAACTCGCGGCTGGCGACGCAATGAAACGCGAAGTAGAGTATTTGTGTTTGCCCTCCTTATCGCGTTATCGGCAATGTGTGGTCACACGCTCACAAGGAATCAAGATTGGCGCGATGAAGAAACCCTTTTCAGGAGCGCCTTGCATATCAACCCACCTAAAGGTAAGATTTTTGTAATATTAATCTGTTATCATTAAAATACGTAACTTGTTATAGAGCACGTGGAGACGTGCCATTCTTAGACAACTGGGTCCCATTTATATTATACAAGATTTCACTCGACCAAGACCGAGCAAAAGTTTTCAATTTTGGTATACGCCCGCGGTATTAGGCGTCAGTCAACGTCGCGTCAAAATTGCGAACTCACGCCATAATATTCGGGTGTCGAAGTCGACGTTTCCACTCGTACCTCCCTCAAAAGTTTGTTCGAGTTGGCTCGTTACTGCTCTAAACTAAGACACAATTAATTTGTTTGAGAGACACCTACAAACTACGTGTCCGCAGCGTGTTAGTTGCTTAAAGTTGAGAAGAGGCTGTCACGGGTGCCGCCTATGGAGGGTTTACCGGGAGTCGTTATATATTCACTACCTACCTCTTCTCTCAGCTACTCTCTTGACCTTTTTAGGACGCCATTAAACATGCATGTGCTTCGTCCCGAGAGAGGTAGCTTCGGGTTTCTGTTCACATCACAAACTTTCACGCAAAGAGAAAAGTTTGTCGTGATGGTTTTCATTTTGCTTCACTTCATACACCGAATATATCGGACTAAATACCAAAATTATATTGTTTGTTTTCAGACATGTTCGTGAATATTATATGCATAGTAGCTATTTCTCATGTTTGTCAAAAGGTCGACAAAACTTTCGTAATCAGAATTCGCCTCATTTTTGGTATCACTTAATATTTGCAGTTCTTTCTATATATACAAAATTAAAACTTACACAAGAAAACTGTTGAAATAGAAAATTGTGTGTACAGTAAATATTCGAGATAAGACGGCAAACATGGGAGCCACAATATATAACTTATCAACAGGTCAACTTTATTCCAGTAAAGGGTAGAATATCGGAACAAAAGAAACTAAAAGTTATTCACTAACCGCAAATAAGATAACGAAATATGCTATTTTGGTAGAAAAACAATATTTCACCTAAATTATGACACTTTATCGAAGGGTCCCCGAAGTTAAACTATCCAACCTCCTATGATGGGTTTGTAAGGAAAAAATAAGAGGTGAAACCCTCTCTTTTTAAAAGTTCCTGTCTAACTTCTTGTATTTTTACGAGATACGAAATCACTTGTAAAATATTGAGGAGACGCGTGAAGGCAGCTGGAACGTAAGTTATTTTCTCATGAGGATTACCCACAATGACAGGCCAGTAAAAGGAAAGTAGTTTACTTGCCAAGTATGTTAAACTCGCTTTAAGTTTAACGTCCAAGTCAAAAACAAACGAGGCGTGCGCAATGTGTAGGTCGTGGGAATTGTGAGCGTCACTGTAGTAAATATTACTTTTTGCTACACAGAGAAAGATGAGGAAAAGAAATAATGAAATAAAATAGTCGAGTCAGTGGCTCAACTCAGAGGGCAAGTAAACTCTGCGGGCCCTTTTCACACTGACCGATTCACGTGATCGTAATAAATTACAAATACTAAGTAAAGATATAAGAGTTTTAAAAAGTTAGAGGTAGAAATAGGAGTATTAAGGTAGAAAGAAGCAAATACTACATTTATTGCGAATCTTTTATTGCAAATATTCCAGGTGGAAAAGTGCCCATCACACTTGCCGTATTTTCTCGCTGTATGGCAATGGACAACCACATTGTAAATTAGTGTTTGTCATCAATCTATTAATATGTCCCACTATTTAGCACGGGTTTCGTCTCAGGCGATGGTTTTAGGTCATAGTTCGCCACGCTGGCGCAATGCGGGTTGGGGACTTCCCACGTTTTCAGAAGCAGCAGTTTTCGACGAGCAGGTTTCATCATGATGTTTTCTTTGACTTCAAATTAAATTTCGCATATACATTCCGAGATGCGAGTCTGGATTCTAACCTACGGCCTCCGCTCGAGAGGCGGTAGGTAGGTAGTACCATTAGGCTACCACGGCTTTTTTAAATTTGTTTTTGTACTGTGCGTTAAACACGCGTATTCGTAATTTACATGTCAGTCTGTGTTTTTTGTGCTAGTTGTGCTGAGAAACACACTTGACTCGAATAGACCACTCGAAACTACATTAAATAGCAGCCAATCCCCGCCTTCGTTCGTAGAGTAAAAAAAAGAGATTCGACTTCCACGAGGAGCCAGTTGGCAACGTATACATTTTCCTACTATTGCCTAAAAATCTACAACACTATACCGCCGAAGTAAGCGTGAACTCGAATGATTCGAAAAACTCGCTCGTAACGTTTTGTAATGTTTTAGTTATTATTTTATAGCACCTTTTCTGCATTATTACCATTATTTTTTACAGAATTTGTTACTATATTTATTATATTTTACTTCTACTCTGGGGGCTATCTATCAAGAGCGTTAATTTCATTAATATCAACTGCTAACATGACTAAAGATTGATGTTGGGTACAGTCAAGCTAAATTGTGATAGAGCTCTCTCGTAAGTTAGGTCGAAGGCTCTGCTGTTCAAGTTACGAGTATAAATCACGAATCAACTATTCGTGATGTACTGCCTCCTACTAGACATTCTATAATACCGTGTGTATTGGCATCGACTTTGCACTTTGCCATACTTTTATTCCCATCGGTATTTCACAACGTTCCGCATCAAACGATTTTTTTTATTAAATTTCACTATTTTGTTCATATTGGCTGTATTCAATGGAGAGTTGCGTAAATTTCACAAAGGAAAATAAGATGAATATTTGAATATTCTATACAATGTAGAGAAATATATTCACTGAGATACGTATGAGTTTAATAATAAAACACATTGTATTTCTGGCGAGTGAGGTGAATAAATACAATAAAGCTGATAATAAAAATATGTTATAATAAATTCAAATCAAGCTTTAATTTACATATACATACAAATATGAATGATACAAAATCACGTCCTGTTTATTTAATATCAATCAATGGAATGATTAAAGTCGGCGTTTAGGGCTATTTATTACCTTAACCTACCGGGGGCGTATGAATAAGTGAGGGGGTCCGTGGCCTCCGGCTGCGACCTTTCTACCTACATACCTGATTCTTTTACACAATCTATGGATTCTAATGATTCATTCTGTAAATTAAAAAACCTTTAGTTTATCAGTTGACTGAATTTTTTTTGAACTATTGAGACTATATTAATGAAAATCGAATCGTGAAAACTTTTTCACTTTCTTTTCTTTTGTTATTTAATTGAGAAAATACATTAAATAATAAGCACAATTTATTTTTAAAGACAATTTAGTGAAGATGACAAGTGAATTTTGATACTTATATTAAAAACATAGTCTCAAAATTAAATTCGCCATTTATCAAACATTTATGTAATTATGTAACAAAAATACTTTCTTTATCATTCATATGGAATTCAGACATGTCACTACGTTTAAATAGGTTGACTTGGGACATTTTTTTCGTGGTTTTTGTATTAGACCCGTCGTCTATTTATTTGTAAGTCAATGGTTTTATCCATGAATTTTACAAGGAACGTTAAAAATCATTGACTTACAATTATATGGACGTCGGGTACGCGCTAAAAAGTGTCCGAACTTATAGGGCGTTAAAATCGTATACAGAGCGTCATTCACGCTTTAGTCTTCGTTTGTTCGACTGACAGCGAAGTAAGCAAAATTAGACAGTACTGCGATGACATTACAATTTAAATTCAACGTTTTAGCATTTTCATATTCCTTTATATGTAACTACGTTTAAATAGGTTGACTTGGGACATTTTTTTCGTGGATTTTGTATTAGACCCGTCGTCCATTTATTTGTAAGTCAATGTTAAAAATCATCTATTTAGTAAAGTCCTTGGCATTTCGAACGGTGAAAATTAGACCTAAATTTTCTTAATTACTAACTAGTGAAACTTTCAATTATTATAGAATGACAAAAATTTGGCTTTTAAACAAAGGTCTTCACAGAATTTTGTGGTATAGTATTACATATAAAGCTATTCAGAAATAAGCGCGTAATTGTTTTTGGAATATTTTATAAGCAAGTAGCTGCGTACGTGCTGTTCACACAAATTACCCAAGTTGACTGTCATGTAATTACCAAAAACAATCAAGCGGCCATTTAATAATTGTTGTGAACTAACCCAGGTGCCTGCATTCACAATGGGTAGTATCTGTGTATAAGTACTCTAAATGTATTTGAGGTTTGTCTTATAGATGTTGACGTAATGTTGTCGGAAGCTTTTTTTTTGTATCTTTTCAATATTTTTAAAAGAATGTCGTAATCGGAATTAGTAGTGTTTACTTGTAAAGGCAGACGAGTTTTGCCAAGTTGTATAGTTTTAACATTCATGATGTAGGAGATGAAGGCGAGCGGTCACAATTTTTTCTTTTCACATATTTCATTTATTTTATTTTCTTAAGGGAGCTAAGAGCTACTTTTACAACATGGATTTAAATATGATTAATTAGATGCCAATTACAAGCTTCCACGTACGAAAATAATTCTACCATAAATAACTAAATAACATAAATGAGAACACAACAATCGCTTTATCAGTCACTTGAAAAGACAATAATAACGCACACATTTAACATAGCCCCGCACTAGGGAAACCCTGTGTCGCGGGTGCCATGGACACACACAAATTACACCCAAACTCACGAGAGAAATAAATGTAGGCCATACAAATATTTCTCCCGATCCGGGAATCGAACCTGGGACCTCTGCGTGGCAGTCCGGCATGGTAACCGTTCGGCCACGGAGGCACTTAAAAAGGAAGAAAACACGGAGGCAGTTAAAAAAGAAGTTATTAGTCCTAATTGTTTCTATATTCATAACGCTGTTACCTACTGAAAAGATCTATGCGACAGTCGTCATTGAGTTGGTTAAATGATGATAATAATCTTGGTAGATAATTATTCATTCTAAAATTAGTACTACTAAGTGGAACATGAAGCAAATTATTCTTACGAAATTTCTTCGCTGGAACTTTGAGTATAATGGTACTTACATTACAACAAGCACTTTTTTTCACA